CCCCCCCGCGCGCCAGGAAACCCCCTGCACACCTCCCGTGGGGCTGACTCACCCCTCCTTGAGGTAAGTAGTGGGGCTTCTCGGGGGTGGGAGGGAAATGGGGGTGGGGCAGACAGGACGCCTCACGAGTGACTGTTCAAGGCCTCGCGAGCGACCAGTAGCTCGCGATCGACCTGTTGGTGACCACGGGTTTAGGGTGAGTTTGTAATTAGTTTGTACTGAGACTTTAGTGTTAGAATCAGCTAAGTGTTTTGTGTTATTTTAAGGTTTGGAATCTACTTTGCTCTGCCTGTTCTCACTTATTACCACTTACTGCCTACTGCTTGTACTTAATGAAAACACTTTTATTTACTATCAGGCCCAGTGTAAAAAACTGTTACCTGGTGGAGGCAACCAGTGTGTACATGCCCCCTTTCATTCTTAAAAGGGGGCTTACCTACATAATTCAATTGGGGTTCTGATCCCATTTGGGGAGTGGTATCCCTGGAAGCTGGGCCCCAAATTGCATTTTCCTTGGACCTGGAGCATTTCAGTGTCTGTGTTGCTTCTCAGGGGGGCAATGATCTTAGTTCTGTGCTTTGGCTGGCAGAGATCAACAAAGTTGACCTAGCAGGATCCAGCAGTGAGAAGCCCTAGAAAGCAGGAAGGTGAGTGGCAGTGGCCTTCTCAGCACTCCGGGAGGCACCCCCCAAGTGGTCTTTTGTGACCACACCTCCCCAAGGGGTCTTCTCTGACCGCACACCGTCACACACATATTGTGTACGTTGTATAAGGAAATAATTATTTTACACTGCGTAATGTGCTGATAGACAAATTATTACGAACTACAAGAGTAACGGCCCATTCTTTCATAATACTTAGGATTAGGTCATATGACAGATAGTGGAGGACAATTAAATTCACAGTTATCTAAACACTGATGACCCATGTAATTGCTAAATCACATTTAGCAGTAGGGAAATGGTAGGACTTCTATTAATTTGAAGGGAGTAAAAATGAAAGCTACATGTTAAATAATGCTAATGCGTTCTTATTGCTAAAGCACAGCACAAGAGACCTTGGTATATAACCTTGGCAGATGTAAACTGTCAGAAGATAGAGTGAGGCCCAGAGACACATTGGGACAGGGGAAGAAGTGCAGGTCCACATGGAGATGGGGAAAGTGGGTAGCAGGTTTAAAACTAATAAAAGGAAGTTCTTCTTCACACAGCGTGTTGTCAACCTGTGGAACTCCTTGCCAGAGGAGGCTGTGAAGGCTAGGACTATAATAGAGTTTAAAGAGAAGCTGGATAAATTCATGGAGGTTAGGTCCATAAAAGGCTATTAGCCAGGGGTTAAAATGGTGTCCTTGGCCTCTGTTTGTCAGAGGCTGGAGAGGGCAGGAGACAAAACGCTTCATCGTTGTCTTCGGTCCACCCTCTCTGGGGCACCTGGTGCTGGCCACTGTCGGTAGACAGGCTACTGGGCTAGATGGACCTTTGGTCTGACCCAGTACGGCCGTTCTTATGTTCTTATGGGTGTGTGAGTGGGGTTAGAGGGACACGTCAGAACAGAGGATTTAAGGATACATGGGGACAGGAGAAGATGTGCCTGACTGAATAAGGAGGCTGGGGTCAGAGTCTACATGGCGGACTCTCCCTAACAATCCCTCCTTGTCGCAATGCCCCCAAAAAACTATTCCATGCTTTTCCCATCCATTCCCAACAACCCTTCAATGTCATACCCAAGCTCCTTCCCAGCAATTACTTCCCTCTCCTTCAGCTCCTCTATTACCCCTGACACCTCCCGGGCTAAAGAGATAACCTCTGCACTGTTTCCGTGGGATGCAGAAAATACTATACTGTAGTTTAAATGAATTAGTCAGAGTTCTGTATTAATCTGCATAGTAAGGAATCTATTTGTTAAAAACCATTGCCTGAATCTTTTTTGTTGTTTATATTGTTATAGATATACTTGGTGTGATTGTAGTAAGATGAAGGTCTGAAACATAAGCCCATGGGTATGAGGCCTGAGATCTAGACAGTAACGGTGAAGACTTTGCTAATATAAAGCAAGGTTAAACTGTGAGCAAGAAGCAGGCCCTACTCACAGAAGTTGGCAAGAACAGGGCTGATATTACAGAAACACTCTTATCTAAGAGGTACCAGGCATAGGCTGGAAGCACATTCCTGAGGGGTTGTAACAGACTCTCAGGGGTAATCTGCTTTCTTTTAGATACATGAGCACGATTACAACTCTCTGCCCTTTAAAATGATGTAAAATATAGCTGTATGATGTCCTATTTCACCATGTAAGGTCAGATATTCAAAGTCATGTATATAACTTTATATACTGCATATAAACCTAACAAGATCTATTTTACTGTTAAAAATGAATGCAGGGATTAAGAAAGGAAAAGGAAAAAAAGCACTCTACAAGCTGTTTCTGAATATACATAGGGGTAGATCTATCATAAGAAGGTGATGTATTTATAGCCACTTCACTTTTCAGAGCAGAATCGTGCTTTAAAAACTGAGATTCTGTGCAGAGTCATTAAAAATCCCATGGACATTTTCATCAGAGAAGGGGTTTGGTTCCATGTATAAATGTCTCAGTCTTGCAAGACTACTGCAGACAAAACTCCTATTGACATCAATGGAAATTCCACACATGGGATGCTTGCATGCCTGGATGCTTCTTCTGTAAAGTGTGTTGAGCCATTCAGAATAAAAGGTGCCATATAAATGGAGAACACTGGAGAATTAGTGACATAACCACATCTAAATATTCTGGAAAGAATAACTTCATGACTATATGAAATTCTTCAGCCATCTTTAGATTCTGACATGCCTGCATTAATACACTAACTGAATCTATCAGGATGGAAACTTGTAAAACTTCAGTGCACAGTTCTTTTAGCCAGATCTTGTAACACACGTTCTCCCAACTTTCCCAACACACACAAGCTCTCTAGTACGTTTTCTACTTACTGGCTTCTTCTTTAACTTTATCAACTTCTGCCATTAATGACACTTCTTTGTCTATGATGCTAAAAGGAAAAAAAAATATTATATAACCCAAGATAAAACTATGAAGTGAAGCAGAACTAAAATATATTTTATACTAATAAATGCTATTATACAAAAGACTTCAGAACACTGCTATTAGCAGTTTTGGAATTAATAAAAGGAAAATTAAATGAAGAGACATAGAATAACTAGAGACTAACTGAATATAGCAGCCAGCACGAACGAATCTTTAATGAAAGTTAACACATTATTAGCCAGAAACCATCCTTTTTCATTTATATAGGGACACCTGTGATCTAGCTGCACAGGTACTGTCTAGGTGCAATGGCACACAAGTCTATATTCTCACTCTAGAGCTATATCTATACTGCACCTGTTTTGCGCAATAATATGCAAATGAGGTTAAGTGAAGAATATCACCACACCTCATTTGCATAATTAAGGAGCGCCTGCTTTTTGCATAAGAGGCGTTTGCACAAAAAGGAGCCGTCTATACCACTCCTTTTTGTGCAAAGCTTCCCTCTTGCCCAAGAGCAGTTCTTCTGCATTTTTTCAGGATAAGGATAACATAAGGATGCAATTTAGCGAACCAACAGCACTAGAGAGCTCCCCAATAGATGGTGCTCTTGTACCTATCCCTGATATACTTCATCAAGGAGTTCTTGTTTATTAATGGGTATCAACACTAATTTTTCAGTTTTGAAAACCCTCATTTGTTAAAAAAGTCTCAGAGGGGTAGCTGTGTTGGTCTGTAACTTTCAAAACAATAAGTAGTCCTGTTGTTAGAGACTAACAAAAATATATATAGTATCATGAGCTTTTGTGGGCAAAACCCACTTCTTCAGATGAATCGGAGAGGAATAACAGCCAGCCTTCTCTGCATTTAACACCTCATTTTTACATAATTCTTCTCATTAGCACTGGTCCTTCAATTGGCAGGTACTTTCTTCCTTCCTCCCCCCCCCCCCCCCCTTCTTTTTTTTAAATAAAATTCTGGATTTCTGTTATTTCTCTCCAGCTCATCTGATGTAGTGGATTTTTCCTTGTTCATTGGGCAGTTTAATTTTAAATCAGCTTCCGTCATTTAATTGTATTTAATGCAGATTAATAATATAGATGGATATCTTGATACCATCTTTCACAGAAGAATCCAAAACACTTACATATTTCACAAAAATTACAGTGTAGATATGCACCCATAGATATACAACCAAGTTGGAGTGGAAGGTGGCAACCAGCTAATGCACAGCACAATATAAGGAGGGGAAATTTGGGTGAATGACATCAGGCAAACTTCTCATTTCACCAAAAGGTCATGTGGGCCCTTAACATCCACATGCAACAGACTGGAGCTCAATTTTAAGTGTATCTTCAGAAAGAATTACACTGAGGCTATGTCTAGACTGTAGACCTGGGAAGAGTAGGTGCTAATTAGGCAGAAAAAGGAAAGATCAGAAAGACGACAAAAGTCAGATGGAGAGATTTGGGTAAAAACAACCTGGAAATATAGCCAATGACGACGTCCTGGAAATGCTGGAAGTGGCTAATGAGATTGGCTAAATGAGTCATGCCTACCACATTCAATTATTATAGAATCACAGAATACTAGAACTGGACGGGTCCTTGAGAGCAGTTTTTTCCTGTAAGCTGAGCACTTATGCAGCCGCTCAGGAGAAATTCAAATACTGCTTAGCTCATTAGGAGAGCATCCACAGGGAGGTTTTGTGCTTCTGTTGGTGGTGCAGATTTGCACATGCCTTGGTAACATTGGTCACCCAATCTCCTGGCATGGTCTGATCACGTTCTCCTCCAGCGTCCAAGAGGAAAGTGCTCTGAAGTCCCCAGATGTCTGCATGTGAGAGATCAGGGCACGACATGTGATCTTCCACAAATGTGCCCGCCGGTACCAGAGGCGCCGAGGAGATAGTGACTCTCCCTATTCACCATGGCATCATCAGGAGCCCTTTCCATGGCAATGGCGTCATTCACTGTGCCACAGATACTCGCCTGCACTGAGCCTTTCTGGCCGTAGGGGTGTGTCCCACTTTTCCCAGTGCCTGTCCTGGCAAGATGGAGCTTCTCTCTGGCACCTCTCTCCAAACTTGAGGAGTGGTTCTTTGGGCCATTGCAGACACCTCAGACATTCCCAGTCTCCGAGGTCTCCGTTGGTACCAAAGTCTCAGCACCGGAAGACCCGCTGTTCCTGCTCTTCGTCTGGGCATCGGCGAGCATCCACTCCTGCAGCATGGCCTCAGAAGTGACCTCCATCCCCTCCAAGCAGCAGTTGTCACAGCTGTCAGTACTGTCGATATCAGCACTGCCGGCACAGTCCCAGAGCATGCCTTTGCCACTGTCTCAGTAGCAGGCACAATGGTGCCCATGGACTCCCTGAGGCTTCCCAGTATAGCTCCAGCCTAACGTCTCGGTCGCTGGAGCCTCCCAGGCCCCTTCAGTGCTGCCAGGGCCTCAATAGGCAGTGGGAGTGAGTGAGGAAGCCCAACCGGCCCTGGCCTTCTCCTCTTTGTCACCAGATGAAGTGATCGTGGCTTCTTTCCCGGAAGTACCACAAGAGGACGCGAAGGCGCACTAGGACCTTCTCAGGAGGGTGGCCAATGGCTAAGTAGCAGTTCGGCAGAAAAGGACCTGGGGATTGCAGTGAATGAGAAGCTAGATATGAGTCCAGAGAGGCTATAAGGCTCTGAGGGTATGTCTACACTAGCTTGTTAATTCAAGCTAGGTAGGCAAATCAGGCAACCGGATTTAAATATCCCGGGCTTTATTTGCATGTTCCCGTCTTGCCGCCATTTTTAAATCCCCCTTATTTCGAACGAACTACCCGTGGCTACACAAGGCAGTTTAAAGTTAATCTGAACTAAGTCTTTAGTTCGGATTAACTGTTACTCCTCGAATCCCAGGCTTCATTTGCAACTCCGGTTGCCTGATTTGCCTACTTAGCTCGAATTAACGAGCTAGTGTCGGCATACCCTGAGAGTTTTACAATGTGCATGACATCGTGCTGGAAGCCCATCACCTCCCAGGAGTTTGAAACATGATAGTAGATTGTCTCATCAGAGAGTTTGCCTCTCACCATGAGTGGGCTCTCCACCCCAAGACGGCTGTCTCTCTCTTCCACGACTGGGGATCTCCCTTAGTGGACCTCTTCACAATGAGAAACACCATGACGTGCAGCCAGTTCTGCTCCCAGTTTTCCCTCGAGAGGGGCAGCTAAGGCCAGACCTGCTCTCCCAAGACTAGGAACACTTGCTTTATCCCAACCTCAGCTCGCTTCACCTGACAGCGTGGTTCATCTGTGGTTGAACCCCCAGGAGCTAGTGTGTTCAGGTGATGTCCAGAAGGTTCTCTTCAAGAGTCAAAAGCCTTCAACGCAGTCCATCTATGCCACCCAATGGATTCATTTCTCCATATCGGTGCAGCAGCGTGGGGTTGTCCCAGCTGAAGCTTCCTTTCAGGAAATCCTGGACTACTTGCTACACCTGAAGCAACAAAGCCTTGCTTTGACCACAGTTAAGGTCTACCTGGTGGCCATTTTCACATTTCATCCACCCACAGAAGGTTGTTTGGTGTTCGCCCATGATGTTATCTCTCAGTTCCTGAGGGGCCTGGAATGCCTCTACCCTCAGGTCAGAGTCCCTGTTCTGCAATGGGACCTGGACCTGGTCTTGGTGCAGCTCATGGACCCTCTGTTCAAGCCACTGGCCACGTGCCCATTGTCACTGCTTTCCTTCAAGGTAGCCTTCCTGATTGCCATCACTTTGGCTAGACGAGTGTTGAAGCTCCAAGCACTGACGCTGGAACTGCCTTATACTCGGTTCTTCAAGAATAAGGTACAGCTGCCGCCTCATCTGTCCTTTTTCCCTAAGATGGTTTCTGCCTTCCACATGCACCAGGATATTTTTCTGTCAGTCTTATACGCCAAGCCTCATACGAACAACGAGGAAAGGAATCAGGAGCTGACCTTTTATCCTTTTGCAGCTCCACACAGCTGTTCGTGGCCTATGCGGAATGTGGGAGGGGTTCCCCTGTTTCCTCCCAGCGACTGTCCAAATGGCTTACTTCCTGCATTTGCATGTGCTATGCGTTCGCAGAGGCCCAGACACTGGAGTTGATTAAGACTCTGAAGCAAAGGGAAGTTTTATTATTAAAGAGGGAACAGGAGCGGGTTCTATGTGTCCTTCGAGTTCTTATCACTTTAAATACTCGTCGATGTGATGTCTAGCACACCAGCTCTTTATAAGCTAAAAGATGAATAATCCTAATAAATATCATTTATAGATCTGATTACAACCACTTAACACAAAAAAAATTGAATTGCATTTGCAAAACTACTGGCACAGAAAGGAAGACTGGATTGAAGCTGAGCTGCAAATCAGACCCCTATTGTCAGCTTACTTAGTCAAAAGGCTATAAGGCTTCCTAACAAAATCTGTGAGTGCATTTTATAATGCACAGATTCATGCAAAATATCTATGAAAATTAAATGTCTGCAATGGATTAATGACCTCATCTTTCATCTGAATGCACTTGGGCTTCCATCGTAGGTCAAAAACAAATATTAATATGATGGTTTCATAGCAATCTTTATCTGAAAACATTAAACAATTTTCCATGTCTGGTAATGACAGTCAGTGTTCAGCAGAGCTCTAGGTTGCCAGAAAAGGGGGTTGTTGAACTGGCTGCACAGAGTGGGAGAAACTGGCACAGCCCCCTGCTCTATAACACTTGGGCGATTCTAGTATCATGAAGACCTCACTTTTGTGTGTCCTGAAATTCATTCCAAACATGTGGCTAAGCTGTGTGCTTATTTGGACACTCAGGAGAGATTCAAATGTCACCCTAGCTGATTAGCATAGTGCCCACAGTTAGGCTTTTTGTTTCTACTGGTGGTGTGCATTCACACATGTCATGCTACACATAAAACATTTATTCCACACATGGATGGAAAAACATCTACACATGGATGGAAAAGATTAGAAGAAACCATCTATTTATAAGTGGCCAC